ATTCGAACCCGCCACCTTAGGTGTATGTGGCTGGCGCCTTAGCCGCTTAAGCCACAGGCGCCGAGCCAAGAAAGAACAATCTTATGAGAAATTTCTCCAGATAAAATACATAATTTTACCTTCCCAGTATTTAAGTCTATAAAAGTGCAGACTGCCCGCTGGGTCAACTAATCATTTTATCTTCTCTTCAGAGTATGATCTGATCTTTGTTTTCAAAGTGCTTGCTACAGAACAGGTAGTCAAAAACCAAATCTCATATTTAAATATGATTCCTATGCCTAACATTTAAATTTTCTTTCATTTGTCAAGACATTTTTCTCCACAATAAAACAGTTTTGACAGTCTTCAAGTATAATTCCTTAACTCCTAAATGGTAAGTTTTTAAAATGCCTCATGGATTAGTCTTTGCCAGATAAAACTCTAGAATTACAAATTTCTAGAGTTTTATTGACCAGAACAATAACCACTTTAAATAACTCTTCCCCCACATGCACCTAAACTTTAAGAGACACTGAACTAAGTGATCCTAGTTATAGTTGAGCCTTGCAGTTTCCAATCTCCAAGTACAATTCCCAAACGAGTAACTGACTACCCAAAAGGGGGGCATATTTCACCAAAAGGATCCATCAGCTTACTTTTAACTCATAAATATGTTAAAAGTTTGCCAAAACAGGACACCACCACAAAACAACAAAAGACAGTATAAAATAGTTCCAAATTATGCTTGTCTTAGACATCTATTTCTTAGTGTCAAGTGCTATCTGCTATATTTATTATTTTTAAGGTGTTTTGAGACAATGAGCACCACAACTTGATCCAATAAATGTAAACGAAGCAGAAACACTGAAATTGTTAACAAGAAGGGATGATGGAAAGATAAAGACAGAAAGTGATGGTACACTTTACATAAGCCAATCTGTAATATGTAAAATATGTATAATAAAAAAATGAACTATTTCTTCCCATGGTAATCTGAACTTGTACGTGGCCTCTAAACTACCTTTTCAATTCAGCCATATCAAATACTAAATTACTAAAGGCCACCTTAAAACACTCAGTTATATTTTAAAAGCCTCATATAATAAATAAAACACTTGATAAAAAATGAAATGAGTAAGAATCATTATAAAACACAAAACAGCTCTCCGGCTGTTCACATTATAGACAGAACCCTCATTACTGGCAGTTAGGTATAATGAAAAAGGTCAGACTTTGGAACCAGGAAGACATGAGTTTTAACACTAGTGTACCACATCTTGTACTCTAAAATGGGAATTACCTACCTTGAAGAATTGTTATAATGATTAGTGAAAATATACACAAAGTACCTGGCATATTATAGCCACTGAAAAAATATTAGCTGCTATTATTTTAGTACTTCTAAGCACATCCATGGAAGAGGGCATAAGAAAGAACACAATAGAAGATAAATCAGGTCAGGGCCTAGGTTAAACTGCTAAAACAAAAACAAACAAAAACATCTTGATTAAGTGAAACGTTTGTCCACATTTTATATATAAGATACTATAGTTTCTCCTTATAAATATATAAAATCCAAAAGTAGCTATAGTTCTGCTTATTTTGAAGCTAAAAAAAATAAATCATTATCACACAGTAAAGCAAATAATTTTAAGAACAGGTGAGAGGGCTTCACCACTGGGGGGGAAAAATGCCAAAACTGAGATATAAAAATGCTAATGAAAGGAGAGTAAAAGATTCCTACCTTTAAACCGACTGCTATAAGATCTGTAACAACACTGTATGGAAAAAGTAAAAAGAGAAAATGGAAAACAAAGTTAGAGAACAAGTTTTTAAAAGACAGAGATAATAAGATTAAAGGAAAAAAAACTACAATAACCAATAATAAAAAATAAAGAATGTGATGAGTTGTGAAATGTTAATACAAAGAAAAATGATGGGACAGTCTAGCAACAAGAGAGTGTAAAAGCAAAACCTTAATAGCAATGTAAAAAATAATTACCTTTTAGTATTTAGAAAAACATAGTTGTGCTCCAATAAAATGATAATGTGTTTATCCATTTACTTCTACATAACAAATATAAACCAAAACTTAAAATCACCAATTCTTTCTTTTAAATCTCTGGCATGAATTATTATATCTAAGATTTTAAATGAAACAAAGCCAGTGCTTGCATTTTACAGAAATAGAAGGCATCTTGCAAATCTGCATTTACCACCCAAATTGTTCACCAAAATAGTGAAGCCAGTCTCTCAGAACTAAAATAAATACAAACACCAAATTTCAGACATCGAAATTTTCAAAGAGCTGCTTTTTTAAAAACTCTACCACGTAAAAACTGTGTTTAAGTATAAATTATCTTTCAGGAGGAAGTGAACACATACACACACAAAAGACAGTTGGGATTTGAGGAGGAACTGGAAAGATATGTTGACTCGTGGTTTGAGGTTTGTTTTTTAACTATCCTAAATAAGGAAAAAAGACCTCTTACAGGCAATGGGAAAATGCAGAAATTTAATTAGTCTCCTGGAGGCAAAAATTCACTGTATTTGAAACCACACCTTTTAAAACCAAGGTGTAAAAACCCCTGTAACGTCCTGGCACACAAACCTTCCTGCAGTACAAACCTTCATCTCCTTTAACTCCAAAGAAACAGTTTTCAAATAGTTTATCTCCTAAAAGAAAGCTACAAATAATTGCTACATATTGTTAATAACCAGAATGTCATTGTTACTTTATAAATGCAAACAAATACATAACTCTAGATGGGTCAGTGATGCAAACTGAATTGTTTGAAACAATAGCCACGTAGATAATTTCCCTAACTTCTGAAACTTGACCGTTCATTTGTAAAATTTTTAAGTGATAAGTAATTGATGTTTTCTGCATAAAAAGATTGTGCATAATTATATCGTCCAGATGCAAAGAACAAATCATGCTCCCCCTTGAACTTCCAAATAAACTTACCTTTCAGTATCTGCATCACTGCCCTACCTATGTAAACCAATAAACTCATTCTTAGCTTTAAAACCACAAAAA